AGCCTAAGGGAGCCACAGTAGTTACTGATCCATTACAGGGATGCATCACAATCATTTGTGAACGAGAGTCAACAGAGAAATTTCAGTCTTCTGCAGTGTCAGAGATTATATCTTTCTTCATGCTGGCAGATCTTCAGTAATATCTTTTCTTGTTTTGTAGGACAACAGTTCCTAACATAAGACCCTGACAGGATTGTGCTTTTTGTTTTCATTATTACAAAGGCAGCTGCTGTCTGCTCTGAGAACATTTTCCTTCTGTTGTTGTTTCATTCTGGTGTTTCTCCCAGGGAAAAGCAGATGCTGTGCAGCAAGGTGACAGTGCTGTCCGGGACAGTGCAGCCAGACATCTGTTTCATTACGTAAATGAAGAACGCCTGAAGAACACAAAAACTTTTGCAAGTGAGACCTGTTCTTTGATTAATGGTGGAAATGACATGAAGAATCTGTGTTGGTTTTATGTGTTTACCTAAAACATAACATTGCATATAATTTGGATGATCAGATGAGCAGAAATGAGGTTCATCAGACTGCATGTCATTTGAAGGTAGTCTCCCCAGTGTTTACAGTCTCGGTGTCAGGAAGAGCACCCTTTTCTGCTATAGTCAAGATCTGAATTTCTCTGAGGCTCTCCAACTGCAAAGCAAAATGGATGAAAGTCTTGTCATTCCTTTGATGTTATTCCATGTACTGAAAAAGATGTTAAAGTCATCTTTCCTCCTTTGTTCATAGCTCCTAGCGCTTCAGACAACATCAGATTCACAGCTACCTCTTGCGCTCCCGTTAGGGCTATATTTCAAGCATGCAAGCATGTCTATCAGTAATGTTTCCTTTCCTGGCTTTTCTTTTCCTTAGGTGGGGCTGCAGTATGTTGCTCAGCCGATCAAACAGCTGGCATAATGAGCACATGCTGTGTTCCCATACTCCTCACTGAGCTCACAATCCAGCCCCTCATGAGCACAGCTAAGTACTGAACCTGAGCTACTTCAGCTCACTAACCTGGCAGAGAATTACTTACATTTTGGAACTCAAGTGGTTTTTTTATTATCTTATTGTGCTGAATCTATCTGCTGAATCCACTGGTTGTAGACCAGGGGCAGCTGAAGTGATGGGAGGCAGTGGGTGGCAAGAGGGGTGCACCAGGGAGAATAAAATCATCCATTCAGTGGCTGTGAGCTCAACCTCAGGTCATCTTATGTAGGTTCATGCTGAAATAATGCCTGCAAAGCCTTCTGCTAGCATAATGCAACTTCATAAGAATCAGTCTGTAATTTAGGTGCTCATATATATAAATATATACATATTTAATTTATTTGTTTGAAGAAGTTCATTATCGTTTCAGCCAATTATTTCCATTAAGGAGTACTGAGGTGTTTAACCTAAAAACAATTGATCTGGTACTGAGCCACTCCAGTGAGAATGAAATCTCACACATAAAGGAACGTCCTTCCTTCCCTATTATATGACAGCTTTTTATAATGACTCTAAAAACTGGGTCACAGGTACAATTATATCTTTTTTCATCATAAGTTTCTCTTTTTTTGAAGCCTTTATTTCCTTATTGGACAATTATGAGACATCAACTGGAGTAGAAGAAGTAGTGACTCTAGAAGAAATAGCTGAAAACAATTGCTTTCTTGATGCTATCTTAATGACTGGAGTAATGAAAGTGAGTAATGAATTCAGTTTTTGTCACTGAAGACACTGATTTACAGACACACATATCTTTGTTTTCTATCCTTCAGCTAGCTCATGAGTATCTGCTTAAAAAAAAACTAGCAAAGCCAAACCTTGTTGATTTCAAGCATCAGCTCTATGACATCTGGTTCCAGCTGTATCCCAGGAAAGAAGGAGACAGGTATGTCTAATGAATCTCTACACTATTCTGATTTATGCAACTGCAAGCCTGAGTTCATTAATTACACACTGAACTGGAAGGCAGTCTTAGGATGTGGCCTAAGGCAGTGTACGCTGGTCCCACGCAGATCATGTTAAAGACTTACTGATCAGATATTAATGATGTTGACCCTTGGGGTGCAGTGCTGCTGACTGAGATCCAGGTGGACTTGCTATCTCCAGTCACAGGCGTTCAAGTGCAAATGTTGATCCACTTTTCAATCCACTACACCATCTGCTTTTCTAAACTATACTTCATGTGTTTGTCCGTATGGCTGTTTCAGGAGATTGTGTCAAAAGCCTGACTAAAATCAGGATAAGCAGCAGTGATACATCTGTGGCTTTTACTAACAGTCTTCGTCATCAGATAGAGTTTTAGGCTTTGTGAATAGACTGCATTGGGAGTTTTGTGCAAAGCAAGAAGGAAAACCCAACAACCCCCAAACTAATCCTGACACATCTACTGTTCACAGATGAATCTAGACAAGCTTGTGCACTTTTCCTTTTACATTACTGAAGTTTAACTACTTAAACAACTAAAATATGTATGTTTTTTTTTTTTTTTATTTTATTACAGACCTGATTCTTGTGGTTTTGAACATGTTTTTGTTGGAGAAACAAGGCACGGTAAACAGATCTTAGGTTTGCACAACTGGGTGCAATTTTATCTTCAGGAAAAGCATAAACAAATTGACTACAAGGGATACATCACTCGGAAGAATAAAACCAGGGTAAGAATGAGCAGGGTGGCCCTGAAAATAAGATCAGTAGATGCTCAGAGGAAAAGTGAGTTAATGAATCAGGGCACCATGATGCAGACAGTGTTGAATTTTTCCCTATATATTTCTAGTAACAGCTGCAGTCACTGACAAATACCCTCTCATCCTCTTCCTACCGTCATCTGTGGTTATTGTACATGCAGCAGGTGCCTGCATTTCTGGACCCCTTCAAGGCATCTTTGTGCCGAAAGGCTGGGAGCCCAGTTATTCAAACAAAACAAAGTTCACTGGTTTAAACTGCTTTCCATCTATTGTCCTCAGAGGTGCAAAGTTAACCTAGGTGGGAAAGGTAGAGCAGTTTAGAAGTTGCAGAACCACGAACAGGAAGAATTGTACCTGCAAGCCAGAATCTGATGTATTGGAGATTATTGCATTGTTATTTCTATGCTTTCAGCCTGATAGAGATGACCAAGTTTTGAGCATCCAATTCAGCTGGAAGGGCTCAGTCAAACCAATTGGAAGCAGCTTTATTGGTGTCAGCCCCGAATTTGAATTTGCCCTTTACACCATCATTTTTCTGCTGTCTGAAGAAAGAGTCACACGTGAAACAGTGAAGATAGAAGAATATGAGCTACAGATTGTTGTTTGTCGCCATGGGCGCCACATTGGAACGGCATATCCAGTACTCCTCAACACCAGTAATGAAGACTAGTAGGCACAGTGATGAGGCAACATTTCTTCCTTTCTTTTTTGGTGGAGAGGAGGGAGTAAATTGATGTGTTGTTTTGTACAATTCATTTCTAGTATAAATTTATGAGTTGTTCCCTTTTGATTTGCCGTGAACTGTTGAATCAATAACGTGCCACATTGAAGTGTCTGACCTACCTTGAAATATGCTTGTTTTCAGATTAAAGTCTGTGTTAGACTTGTATCAGCCTTCCTGAATGCATTTTACTTTTCACCAGAGAATAGAATTTAGAAAAGATCACAATTATTTCTCTTATTTGTTAGCCACTGCATATTTGAAAGAGCAGTAACCACACATCTCTTACATTTTCGCTTCTAGACAGGACCTTTGGTTTGGAACAATCTGAACCACGGCATTTTGGGGTTTTTTTTGTTTTTTTTTTTTTCCTCATCTCCTTATTTCATTAGAGGTTAATTTCAAATGGAATTTTACAATTGCAGTGCCTGGAATACACAGTAAACACGTTCAACTGTGAGAATGATCATCAGATCAATGGCAAGTCTGTCACTGCATCCAGGTTTTGGCCTGCTTCCAGATGCCACAGTAGGCTTTATCTCACGTAACTTTAAAAGTCCCTGATACAGGCACACCTGTTTTACATTACAGTCAATGATGTCTGCAGTCACTTATCTGCTTGTGTAATGTATGTTAAGTTAATTGTCCTGTATAATCCATTGACAATAATAAGATACCACTGGGAGCGCTGGACCTATTCCTGGACATGATCACTTGTCCTGCTGATGCAGATGTTTTCTTCCAAAATGCATTCAATAGCCCAAAGAAGGGAATATGATAGATTTCCTTATCATGGCAGCGCAGACACAGGCAGATGTTGACACACTCTGGGAGACCAGGATTGCTTAAATATTCACATCCTACAATTACTTTTTCAAAAAAGTGAGGAAACTCCTGATGCATATTTTGTCTCAATGCATGATTTGCAAATTTCTGCACATAATTTTCATGAGTTTGAGTGCTGTAGTTATAAGTCTAGCTAACCAAACCAATGCTGGGAATATGCAAATTAAGAAAAGAAACATTCAGAGATACCTTATTATGCAAGGTGGAGGCTGACATACCAGTGACAGCAAGTTACTCTTGTTCCAAGCACAAAAAAATTATTAAACATGGAAGAAAGTGAGTAGACATAGAGTCGCTACCATGGAATATTTTCTGATGCCTCTGGCCAGAGACTTCCACATGATGTTGCCAGACCACTGCATGCTCATTTCTGCTCTTGGTGCCTCGCATTGGTACTGGAGTGCCCTGCAGTAAATGCTTTACGGTATTTTCTTTGACAGAAAAACCACAGACACCAAAAAAAAAAAACAAAGCAAGCAAACAAACAAAAACAGATGATGTTATAATTGGATGATAAGATTATGCTACAAGAGATACGTATAAAGCCAGCTTACATGGAGTCAAAAACAGCCACCCCCAGTTTCTGCAATCTTCTATTTTTTGAGGTGTAACAGTATTCAGAATCCTCTGAAACTTGTAAATCCATCCTAATAGGAAAGAGCGTACACTGCTGGGAAATTGCTACAGAGCATCATCAGGTCTCAACAATAGCTCAAGTAGTAGTAATAAAAGGCAACAAATAAATTGCACAAATTCTGTAAGGTAATGTCAAAGAATAATTGTTACATTTTCAGTTTACACTGACAAAGTAATTAGATCTGCATCATTCTCAAATTATGACTTCTGTGCAATCTCTGACACCTCCAAGCCTAAGCCTAAACCTAAGCATAACCAGTACAGACAGCTCTTAGCCAGAGGGGGTCAGATGCTCACAGGGAAACTGACTTTATACTACAGAACCACAGAAGTTGTTTTCATAATAGAAAGTAAACTAAAGATGTAAATAAGGACATTACTTTCTTTTGTTTTCCTCGTAAGAGTTGATACATCTGGTGTCTTGGCAATTAGCAGGTTTAACAAATAAAGCTAACTAGATTTGTAAGTAAGCAGAAAATAATAGGAAAGAATGTGCAAGTGGATGATCTACTGGCAAATACACATGCTATGCTCAAGGAGAGAGGAGAGAGAGCAGCCAGCAATCAAAGCAGAGACATGGAATGAGAATTTGGTTCTGCCCAGTGTGTTGCAAGGAGAAAAGTGCAAACAAGAAGCACAGTGACCTCATGCACGCAGGCATTCACTGGTGTCTGAGAAGGGTGACCACGGGGTGCCTGTGTGCCAAAGCTCATTCTCTGCTAGCACAAGCAGGCTGTTCTCTCTAGAGGGCAGGGATGTGACGAGCCCAGCTCTGGGCTGAAGGAAGGAGAGAAGCTGCACTACCGCACAGGTGGATGCCACATCTCTAGAAACAGGAATAAGAGTCAGCGTAGGATTTCAATTGCCAGATCACAATAATCCTTATGAGAATGGCCCCTGGGAAAGCTGGCAAAGAGATCACGTGCTCCCTGACCATGCAGCAAAAGGAACGATAGGCTCCAACAGCACTGCAGCTGACATATCCCCAGGTGTAGGAAGAATCTCCTCCTTGTGGTGTTGGGAGTTCTCTGAACCACTTCTGAAAAAGAAGGAGGCACTGCCTGTTCTGTGATCCTGACTGATCCTTCCCAACAAACGTGGGATTGTTGGGATAAGACCCACGTGCAGTAGGACACAAGGTGGCCTCACCAGTGGCTCTCCACTCACTAAATATCTCACTAGTTCTTTGTTTTTGTTACTTTTTGTTTGTTTAAAGAAAAAATATTAAATATTAAAATGATTTTTGTTACCTCTATACATTAACTTTATTATACATTTATGAGGAATGCTCCAAAAGCAATGTCTTCTGTTTTATTATGTTGGCTTACATTGTCAGTTGGCAGAATGGCAGTAGAAGCTGAATCTTCCCACCAATATTCCATTGCATTTTGTTGCCATGTGACAGATGGTACAGATCTGCAGCCTGACAAAGTGGCGTCTGCCATGGAAGTGCCAAAGAAGCAAAGGTGTGTCACTCTGTGCAGAAAAAAAATGGCACCCATTGGCATTTACCAACACTTGGTGAACATCTATGGCGATCAAACAGAGAATGTGAGCACAGTGAGGTGGTGAGCAGGGGCAGGCTCTTGTTCATTGCTGGTGAAAATACATATTAATGGCAGAGGCAATATTGAAAAATAGTGTTATGTAGCTGAGAATTTGCTCCGTGAAGCAGTGTTATTGTGCTCTTAGTATCAGTTGTAGTTTCCATGGAAATAAATAGGAGGCATTACTTTTGGAGCAACCTTTGCAGCCCAAGACAATTCGTATTCATTCAACTTGGCCCAGGCAAGCCAAAAACTCAAACACCCATGTATTCAAAAGTATTCAAAAGCTAGATTGATGATACATCAAATAAAAACACAGCAAAATAGAATCATAGCACTATAGAACGATTAAAGATAGAAAAGATCTTTAAGATTACACATCTACACTTTTCTTGAACACCTCCAGGGATGGCGACCCCACCACCTCACCACCTCCCTGGGCAGCCTGTTCCAACATCTGATCACTCTGAGAAGAATTTTTTCCTAATATCCAACGACAACCTCCCCTCGCACAACTTGAGGCCATTTCCTCTTGTCTTATCGCTACTTAGACTGAAAAAGAGGCTGACCCCAACCTCCTTTCAGAGAGTTTCAGCAATGGATGCGCTCTCTAGGCTGGGCCAGGCTTCTCAGTGGGGCAATCACAGTGTGAGCTGCGTCAGGATGCATGTAGCCTGCGGGCTGCAGGTTGGGCATGCCTGCCATGCAGGGTGTGTTTGCTGGTGTGTTTGTTCACAGTCGGCACTGCTTTGCTCTTCTACTGCCAACAGACTGATTAGTCACTGCCTGGATTTGTCATTACCAAATCTTACCTCTTACAGCTTTGTTGGTAATATAAAACCAGAGAAAACATTTGTCGCTTCCCCTACTTTGTATTCCAACCCATGCTGCTGAGATAGCATGGGATCATAGGGTGACAAGGCCTGATCCGCCCCTTCTAGATGTAAGCCCAGGGCACAGGCAGGGATACCCCTCAGCAACTCCAAGTGCTTCAGCTGGAGGGCACCAGCAGCAAAATCACACCAGCTGCCTTTCCTTGGCCGCCTGAGGGCACTGACCAGGACGCACCGCCTCCCACTGTGACCAACACACCCCTGGTTCCTCAAATTGCTCTGTGAAAAAAGCACAAGGCCTCAGGATGCACGCAACAATGCCCAAAGCCAAGTTAAATCTAGAGCAGCTTTTGCTGCTTCTCCCTTGCCTTCACCTTGGCCTGCTCCAAAAGCAGTTATTTCAGGCCTGCAAGCTGTTTGTGCAAGAGAATTCAAGAATCTTTGTAGCTTTGTTACTCTCTGCTGGTTAGGACTCTTGAATAGTTAAACAAATGCAGAGAGCATTGTTATGAGGAACTGACCTGAGGGGAATGTATTCATGGAGATGTTTCTTTTTCTTGCCTGGAAGTCGACGTGCTCTCAGTGTGCAGCACAAGTGGGGCTGGTAGGGTTAAGAGGCAGTCTACCACCAATGTACTGCCACCAGGCCCTCAGGATATAGGGAGGGCTATGTCACGTTTTGCACTGAGCTGCTGAAATTACAGTATAGGTTTAAATCCCTCATTAAGCAAAGGCCTTGCAAAAGTGTTCTCATGTACCTACCCCAGCACGTGCTGTGTGTTTCTAGCAGGTTCTCCGAAGAAAGTCCAACACTTTTAAGCAAATCTTTCAGGAGCCTGTATACGCCTTGAGCTACAGCTGCTGCCTTGTTTCTGAAAATGCAGGACAACAGCAATGCAAACGAGATGCAGAAATGAAGCACCTGGGCCATCTCATTATATTTTGATAGAGGCACTTTCACTTTGTCAGCATATGGGGTTCTGAAAGCAAGAGGGGATAATGTGATGCTTTAACAATCTTTGAAATTAAGCAAGTTCCCTGGTGAATTTCTTAAGAAGATAATTAGAAAGGATAACTTTACTGTAAATGAGAAAAACACAAGGAAACAAAATATGAAAACATACATGACAGCATTTTGTAAGAGTAGAAAATAATAAAGGAGGAAATGCCAAAATCAGATGGCACTTGTTCTAAGCTTTCTCATAGGGTGCTCAGTGAGCACCTAAGCTATAGGCCATTTCTCTCCTAACCCAGGCCTGAAGCCAGAAACCTAAGAATGCCTTACTGCCTACAGAAGCTGTAGCCAGATCATCTCCCACTCTACAAAGGACAGTGAATGTATAGAGAGCAAGAAAAAAGTTTTCCTAAAATGCCTTCCATACAGGGTAGTGAGACGTCAGTCTCCAGTAACAGCTTTGTAACTCGGTTTATGTTCATTGCATGACTTAATGGTATGAGAAACAGAGCATATAATTAGTGTAAATCAGTTGATGAGCCTTAGTTGGAACTTGATTTGACCTCTGCTGCCTTTTGTCTTTACACATCTCAGCCAAACTCAAGCATGCAAGGCGCACAGCACAGCTACGTTCCTTTGGCTTCTGTCACATTTGTTGCTCTTTCTTGATCCTGAAACCAAAATGACTTAGTACAGGCAATATCCATTCAAGAAACAATAACAAAATAGTGATGGTCCCACTAAAATTTGTCACAGAGGAATTATCAGCTTGGTATACTTATTGATATAATTTCAAAGAATCCATTTCAACTACAACATTACACCAGGACTGCCTCTCCCTTCTTGCAGGCATTTGCATTTCTACTAGGCCTAATAATGAAAGCATTAGATTTTAAAACTTAAGAGCTATTGTGCCTTTATCTTGATGAGGTGTGGCAAGAAAAAATTCAGAGAAGAAAGGCACAGGCTTGCTCTGTTTACATTCACCATGCGGGAACATTCATGTGCTATTGTTAGTCCTACAGAATTGCCAGCTCCATTTCGGAGCTGAGGCAGGACAAGTGCAGTGGGATTTCTGCATAGTGAAGAAACAGCAAGTACAGAGTAATGTCAGAGAAACTCAGACATACACAGAGGACCATCCCATTAGTAGTTGATCCTTTTTCAGAACCATACTGAGTTAGTGTATATAGATGTTGATATTCAGTATTCAGTCTTAAATAAGAATTACAAGACATGGGTGTTAAGTTGTACTTTTGAGCATCCTGGGTTTTTTTTTGTTTTTGTTTTTTGTTTTTTTAAGCCTGATCTTTCACAGACAGCTTAACATTTGATGGAGATACTTCTATGGAAGAATTCTTCTAAATAAAGCAAATACATGTGGCTAAGAAAAGCTAGACAGACACACTCCCGACACAAATGACATGACCATTTATCTGAATTTAAATACAGGTGCCTGAGTGATTTAGTCATATGATACATGTTTCTAGACATGAGGAAAAGTGTGTGTGTGTGTGTAAATTTGAGTTTGCTGGTAGAAGTAGTGCTCTGAGCAACTTGTGGTTCTTTTTGTTTGTTTTTTTTCTGAAGGAGACTAGAAAAGCCACCTTATTGCTGTGGAATGTAAAAGCAGTAGAAAAGATGAAAAGATTGTTTGAAATAAAGTGCCTATGGCAAGCAAGAGCTGAGTAGAGATTAAAATACCTGCAGTTTCTGAAATATTTTTATTTTCCCTTTTATTTTATTTATATCCCATAACTTCATTAGCCATAATTACTTTTACGGCCTGGAAATCTGGTCCTAAGCTTCTCTAAAATATGCCCTATAGCACCGGCTGAAATGATTTATTTACATACTTTAAAATGTTACACAGAGCAAGTCAAGAGGTTCTACAGCTGTTGAAACCAACTCTGTTCAGCTAAAAGCATTCAGTTTATTTCAGGTTTGGGAGCTTCCCAGAAGCCCAGAGCAGTTAGATCTCATTACAGGATTTCATTGCTCCTCAGAATATTTCTTCATATTTTCCATGCATGGCAGCGCAGAAGTGAAAGTACAGCTGAGCCAGCAAAGCCTGTGGTGTAATCTCTAGCCTTGTCCCTTCACTCTTCTTTTTCCATTATGTGCACCACACAAGCGTTCCTAAGGATTTCTTGAAGCTCCAAAGAGATGAATGCTTGAAATTCCACTGCTGCTCTCCTTTTCTGATAGATTTCTCCACTGCCCCTACCTACCAGAAGGCATGTTCACATGTTCATAAAATGCCCCCTTTGCTCATAAAAGCAGTAAGTTTTAGGTTTACTGTAGTTTCTACTCAATTGCCTGCAACACATACTGAGTCTAATGATCCTCCATAGCTCCCCAGACCAACTCTCCCCTCCCCAGATCTTCCAAATCCTTCAAAGCACTGCAGAACCACAGACTGATTCTTAAGATGTCAATGCTGGGAAAGCTATTTGGAAAGCATCTACACCTATTCTCAGCCTTTTCAATTGCTGGAACTCTTCAGGCCTTGAGGCAGGGTCCATCTAGTCACAGAATAACAGAAAGGCTGGAGATTATCTAATCCGAATACCCTGCAGAAAGCAGAGTTATCTGGAGCAGATTGCTTGGGGCAGCATTGCCTTGACCAAATATTGAGACTCCACAACCTATCTGGACAACCTATTCCAATGTTTCAGTGCTCAACCACTGTTTGGTTTCAGTCATACATCCTGTGTTTCAGTTTGTGCCCATTGTCCCTCATTCTATCAGTGGATTCTAAGAAGGAAAACTAGATTCTTCTCTGTAAAGTCAAAGAATCGGAATGATACAGCACTTAATCCTGTACAGATGGGTGTGATTTTAAATACTTAGAGAACATCCCTGATTTTGTTGGCTTGCCTTCTCTATCTCTAAAATACCAAAATAAAAGGAAATAAACCATGGAGGTGTTGCACGCTTCCAGTTTACACCATCAGCAAAGTGCATTTAGTGTCTTTGTTCAAGTTGGGCCTACAGAGCAGTCTCTGCACCACTGCTGACATTGCAGAGCATCACCTGGGCACACAGCTACTCTCTTGGACAAGCTCTGCTATGGAAATCACTCAGCATTGGCAAGAAGTGGCCACAAACTGGGAAGAGGCTGCTACTGTCTTCTGTTACTAGTGCTTGGGAAACTGATTTCCAGACCATCTCCAGAAGCAGAGGGACCCAGGAGGCCAGCAGGGAGCTACTCACAGGAGCACACAGGAAAGGGAAGCAAGGCCTTGGTGAGGGATGGTCTCCTTACAACACAGCTTTATTTCCCTCTCAAGTTCAAACAGCCATGGCTCAGGGCAGAACCAGCAACAAGTGCGACTCAGTGACATCAGTTTGGGCAGCTCCAACCAGTCCAGCCTTGGGCAGCACACGCTGGTGTCACTGTGATGACACAAGGCACCAAAGTGATATCTGAGCATCTCCCACCAGAACACCCAGGCAGTGCCGGTGGATTTCCCTTGCCAGCAGGCAGGGAGAATACTGGCTCACTGCACAAATGGCTGCAGGTGCAAGCTTTGGACAAAGTGAAACAGGAGATACTGAAATGGAGTTGTCTGCAGCAGAAACAGCTTCTGCTGCTGATCCTGAGGAGCTGATCAAGACTCCTGTAGGCTCCATTTTTACTGACCCTACAGGACACAACCAAGCAGCAGCTGGCCACGCTGCTGGAACATCAATACAGGAAGAACAGGACTCACCGATGTTTCCAGAAGAGGAAACCAAAGGTTTACCTCGCAGTCCATCTGAAGAAAGCATTGGCTTAGCCAGGGTTTTCTCATCCCTCAGCTTCCCACAGAAACTCTGGGTACTGGTGGGAAGTGACCAAGTGAAGAGCATTCAGTGGGGTCACAGAGGAAACTGCACTGTAATCCAGAAAGAAATGTTCAAGTTGGAAGTTCTGGCAAGGGAAGCACCTGCGAGAGCCTTTGAGAGTACCTGCATGAAGAGCTTTGTTCGCCAGCTTAACCTGTATGGCTTCACCAAAGTGCCACAGCACTTGGAAAGATCTTTTCTTCCTCAATTACTGGCCGAGGAAGAAGCATTTGCTGCCCATAGGAAGGTAAGTACCTAAATTGTTCCCCATACTAACCAGCTCTTGCAGAACTCGGAGAGAAGGAGGTTCCATTAAAATCAGCTTAGGTCATAGAGGAGGTGAGGATGACAACAGTCTCATCTTAATTTCTTTCTCTACATGCTTCAGGTATTTTAGAAGTAGCACTGCTGAGTAGTACTAGTAGAAATAAAACATATTTGGGCTATACCCAAATTTGAACCCATGGAATGGAAAAGTAAATAAATCAGAATGTGACAAACTCACTTATTTCCATGCATTTGTAAAATTTCTTCTCTTAGTCACCCTAAGCCGTAGGATTAAATTGATTTATTGGTGTGGTTATGCCCTGCAGATGGCTCAGCACCACACAGTCCTTCACTCAGTTTCCCCCTTCCTGGTGGTTTACTCGTGGGTTGAGATAAAACTATTAAGATAAAGGAAAATAATAAAAGATGTGTCTATATGTATGTATATATACATACATACGAATAATATACGTAACAAGAGGTGAATGAGAAATTGCTCACTAGCCCACAACTGAGGCTTAGCACCTTCTTCAGAAGTTCTTCTGTATGATGTCATATGGCATGGAATATCCCTTTGGTCAATTTACATCAACTGTCCTATCTGTTCCCTCCCAGTTCCCTGAGCCCTTTGCTCAGAATGGCCTTGGCTTCTGTCCAGCACTGCTTAGCAGCAACTTAGCAGACATTGGTGTGCTGTCAACATTGTTTTACTCCCTGAACCAAACCATAGCATCATACCAGCGCTCTGAAGAATACAGTTCCATCCCAGCTGAAACTGAGACACCCATCAGCCTTGTTAATACCTATATTTGTCCTGTGCCATTAGAAGTTCTATTTTCTGTATCATGCTTATCCTTCAGTTGCACGCTGACAGCACCTAACTCTTCTCCCTTATATTTTTTGGTTACTCCTGTACTCCAGCCCACACTTCAGAAGAGATTACCCGCAGCTGCTGGGACACTGCAAACGGAGAGTAGCCCACAAGAGAAGAGACATGGCTGCCCCTACCCCTGCCCTACAGGAGGCTCTGAATGAGAGCCCCCAGAGGAGCAGGCCAGATGCCTAACCCATGCAGGGAGTGGCTGCTGGGCCAGAGGAGCCTGCAGGCAGCAGAGCCAGAATGCACGCAGGCAGCAGCACCCATGGGGCCCTTGCCAGCCAAGCACCCTAAGAATGACACCCTTCAAGCCTGAGGAAGTGCTGCTCACATCCTGCCAGGCTCTGCTGCAGCACCAGCACTGGAACAGTGCCAGGCTCTGTCCTGCTCCATGCTGCCCCTGAGCAGCATCCAGATGCTGGGTGCCACTTGTGTTCCTCCACTACAGGGCACTCAGCCATTCCTGCTCCCCTCTTTCACACCTGGCTGTCCTCAGCAGGAGCTCCTGCAGCCCCTAGAAACACCACAGCGGCAGGTTCCCTGGGCTGCCTTAAATTTCCTTGGCTCCTGCTTTGCAATGGCCATGATGACAGCAGCCATGATGATGCCACCTGACTGACAGCCCTGTGCAGCCCCGCACTGCCCAATGTGCACCCGCAGCCAGCACTGGGCAGATGCAGGCCATGGGATGGCCCCATAGTGCGAGACCCACTGCAGACAGTGGGACAGAAGCCCCTAACTACATGTCCCTAAGCTGTAGCTCATAGGTGATTAGTTGCATGAATAGCACCTATCAGAGATTAACCTTTTTAGTACTCATACCTCTTTGTTTGCATATTTAACTACTTATTCATTCCATTCTTCTGGAAATAAAATGATTCAATAATAAACCTTTTCAGTTGTCGTGTCATGTAAAGTCATTGGCTCATTTCATGCTGAAGTCTCAGATCGAATTTGTTTCATCTCTCAACAGGCAACAGTAGCCGTGCTTCTAACACCAATTGAATGCTTTTCTCTAAACACTACACTCTAGATTCTTTGCTGTACAGTAAAGGATTGGGTAACATTTGTACAACATTTATATCCCAGCACAAGAAAGATGTGGAACTCTTGGAGCTGGTCCAGAGGAGGGCAACTAAGATGATCAGAGGGCTGGAGCACCTCTCCTATGAAGAAAGGTTCAGGGAACTGGGATTGTTTAGCTTGGGGAAGAAAAGACTCCAGAGAGACCTCACTGTGGCCTTCCAGTACATGAAGGGAGTGTATAATCAGGAGAGGGTACAACTGTTTACGAGAGTGGATAGCAATAGGCCAAGGGGAATGGTTTTAAACTAAGAGAGCAGAGGTTTAGGTCAGATATTAGGAGGAAGTTTTTCGCACAGAGGGTGGTGATGTACTGGAACAGGTTGCCCAAGGAGGTTGTGGATGCCCCATCCCTGGAGGTGTTCAAGGCCAGGCTGGATGTGGCTCTGGTCTAGTTGTTGGTGACCCTGCACATAGAAGGGGTTGAAACTAGATGATCATTATGCTCCTTTTCAACCCAAGCCATTCTGTGATTCTATACACCTCACACACTGGAAAGATCCTCCTATCACAGAACCATGGAACAGCTTGGGTCGGGAGGGACCTCTAGGATCATCAAGTTTCAAACCCCCTACCACTGGCAGGGTTGCCAACCACTAGAGCAAGTACTAGATCAAATTGCCCAGGGCCCCATCCAACCTGGCCCTGAACACCTTCGGGGCTCGAGCACCCACAGCTTCTCTGGGCAACCTGATCCTGCACCTCACCACTCTCGCAGTAGCAAAGATCCCCCTGACATCTAATCTTAATCTCCTCCCTGATTAAAAATCATCCTCCCTTGTATTACTACTATCTACCCTCATAAAAAGTTAATTTCTCTCCTGCTTATAATCTCCCTTTAGAAGTTGGAAGGCTGCAATGAGATCACCCTACAGTCTTCTTCAGGCTGAACAAGCTATATAATCAAAGAATATTAGGATGATATAATCTCAAAACAAACAAGAGAGTTAGGCAAAGCAGACTATGATAACAAAAGAGAATAAATAGAAAGCTTACCCCTATCCTAGGCTCACTCACAAACCACCAGCAGAGGCAATCTCCAGAAGAGATCCTTCCCCACTGGTAGCCAGCTCTTCAATAGCTCTAAGAGGGATGGAGCCTGGCTCCACCCCTTCAGGCAGCACAGGTGAATTGCCTCCACCTGTGCTCCTCTGGCTGACTCATGGCTCGCCTCAGGTGATCAATCAGAGGTTCAGGCCCTGACTCAGCAGTTCCCATACAGCAAGCCCTCTCCCTTCAGCCTTTTTCACAGGAGATGTGCTCCAGCCCTTGGATAATCTTTGTAGCCCTTCTCCGGACCCTCTCCAGAAGTTCCACATCTTTCCCATGCTGGGGGCCCCAGGCTTGGATGCAGTATTCCAGTAGGGGCCATCTGAGGGCAGAAAAGCGTAGGCAATTCCCTCCCTTGCCCTGCTGGCCACCCCTCTTCTGATGGAACCCAGGATACCACTGGCCTTTTGGGCTGCAAGCACGCACTACTGATTTATGTTGAAATTTTCATCAACCAGGACTCCAAAGTTCTCAGCAGTTCTTCTCTCAGTTTCCATATTTATCTGGAATTACTTTGACCAAAGGCTTGCTTGGTTGAATCATAGAATGGTTTGGGTTGGAAGGGAGCTTTAAGACCATCTAATTTCAACCCTCTGCTATAGGCAGAGACACCTCTCTCTAGACCACGTTGCTTAAAGCCCCATTCAGCCTGGCTTTCAATGCTTCCAGGGAGGAAGCGTTCACAACCTTGCTGGACAACCTGTTCCAGTGTCTCACCACCCTCACTGTAAATAATTTCTTCCTAATATATAGTCTAAAACTTTCTGGATAGGCTTCTTTTGTAGAAATGTTTCCAAAGAGAAATAGAGGTGCTCAAGAAAGAAGCCTGGACTAAATGGATTTTCTTTTTGTCATGAGTTGGCCAGAAGAGCATAATTACTGGCTCACTGATCTCTACAAAACTGTTATATTCCTTTAAGTAAGCAGGTCTGAAAGCATAAAAGATTAAAAAATAGGAATTCTGTAAATTAATACAACTGTTTTGTGAACTCAAGGCTTTAAAATTAAAGGATTACAGATCATCAGGAATAGCAATTAGTCTAAGCTAGGACCTCTGCCATGCCAGCTTTAATGTATTTGCCTTTAATTCATCCATAAAACAGACATTTTTCGTGTTTCATAGAACCATAGAATGGTTTAGGTTGGAAACTTTGAGATCATCTAGTTCCAACTTCCCTGTTGGGGGCAACCAGATCCAGTGTCTTACCAGCTCCACAGTAAAGAATTTCTTCCTGATATCTAGTCTAAATTTACTCTTCCAGTTTTAAAGCCATTCCCTTGTCCTGTTGCTACATGCCTTTACAAAAAGCCCCTCCCCAGCTTTCCTGTAGGCCCTTCAGGTACCAGAAGGCCGCTATCAGGTCTCCTCAGGGTCTTCTCTTTTCCAGGCTGAAGAGCCCCTGCTCTCAGCCTGTCCTCACTGGGGAGGTGCTCCAGCCCTCTGATTATCTTTGTGGCCCTCCTCTGGACCAGCTCCAACAAGCCCATGTCTTTCTTACCTTGAGGGCTCCAGAACTGGACACAGTACTCCAGGTGGGGTCTCACAAGAGCAGAGCGAAGGGGCAGAATCCCCTCCCTCGACCTGCTGGTCGCACTTCTCTTAATGCAACTCAGGATACACTTGGGCTTCTGAGTTGCAAGCGCACATTGCCAGCTCATGTTGGGTCTTTCATCAGCTGACATTCCCAAATCCACAGGGCTGCTCTCAAGCTATTCTCCAGCCAAGCTGTATCTGTGCTTCTTAACCTCCATCTTCAAACAGGTATTTATAAACAGTGAAAAGGTCTGACCACCAAGCCTGATCTTCTCCAGGAAAAATGATCTGTGTTCTCTCATATGCCTTTCCTCATATGCCAGTGTTTCAGTCACTTATTCATCTGTACTGGGTCTGGCTGGGATAGAGCTGATTTTTCTGACAGCATCTCCTATGGAGCCATGCTTTAGATTTGCGACCAAAACAATGCCATTAACATGCTAATGTTTTAGCTGTTGCTGATCAGCACTTGCATAACATCAAGGCCTTCTCTATTTCCCTCTTTGCTCCCCCAGTAAACACACTAGGAGTGTTTATCTAAGAGGACAAAACCAGGCAAATGACACAAACACAAACTGGGCAAAGAGATTCCAACTTGGTTCAATCAGGAACAGTACCACACTTTTCTCTGCACCCTCCCTTCAAGTCCCAAAGACAATACTTTAGTTGTGGTCCCCAGAGCCTCCATTCCCCATGTAATTATAATCAATTTACCTCACTCTCATTCCACTCTCTTAATTTTATTGAGCCATTTCTGGACATGACTTTAAAATACTTTTCTGCATAGTAACGAACAGATTGTTCAGACCTGCCACCAACGCATCACAGAACAAAATGGTAGAGAGAAGAAATAATAAAACTGTATTTATTTTGCTTTCACAAGATGGAGGGCTACAGACTCTGCTTATAACCTTGGAACATTGACTCTACAGGGAAAAAAACCACACACACACACAAAACAAGAACAACAAAAACATTTCACTTATGCAAAAAGGCACTTCCTTAGAGTAAGCAGTAGTACACCAAGTCAAATATTTAGTAGGTCCCAAATATGTCTGTAATCAGTCCCTGATATTGCCACAGTAGAGATTCTGTTAAGGCTTTACAATCATGAAACACCATTTTACCTTCCCTGGTTCCTGGCTCACTGCGGTTTTTGTTGCTTAGCATAAAGAGCCCAAATCAGAAACAATCGTTAGAAGGAGAAACCATGTTCCACTGGCCATAGATAAGGCCAGAGTTGATGATTCTGTGGCTGCTTCTAAAGAAAGCAGTGTGTGGGAGGGGAAATGAATAGGTATAGATAGAGCATGATGTGAAAATATCATCCATTTATATCTCTTTTTGTGGTTAAGACCACTTAAAGCAGTCATGAAGATCTGCTGCTCTCCACAAAGCTGTTGTTCTTAAAGATGTTCAGTGTTTGGAGATTCAGAATCCTGAATGTCTCCATCATTGCCCTAAAGCTAAGCAGAACAAAGGGGCAGCATGGGGTGGTTTTGCACTGATGGCTGTTTGAATTCCACCGCACTGCTCTCTCACTCCCCTGTCTCAAAGGAACACGAGGAGAAAACAGGATCAGAAAAAAAAAAAAAAGCTCACAAGTTGAGATAAAGACAATTGAATTGAAGGGGAAAATAGAGAAAAACAAACAAAGGCAGTGCAGAAGCAAAGAGAGAGAGAACAATTTTTCTCTACTCTCCATTAACAAGCGATGTTTGGACATATCTTGGGAAGCAGGGCCTTAATATATGACACAGTTGTTCAGAAGGATAGACATCATAACAAGAGCCCCTCTATCTCTGTCTTCCTTCCACATTTTATTGCTGAGTGTGACGTCATGCAGCATGGAATGCCCCTTCAGTCAGTTTAGATCAGCTGTCCTGGCAATGTCCCATCCCAATCTCTTGCTTATCCCCCAGCCTGCTACCCTTGGGGGAGTGGAGAGAGTTTTCTTAGCATAAGAGCACAGACAAAACATCGGTGCAATGTCAGTGCTGTTCCAGATAGATACGGAGAGCATAGCACTATATGGGCTGCTAAAGGGAAAGAACTCCACCCCAGCCAAAATCATGACACAGCATTACATATATATGTACACATTTGGAGTCACCCAGTGGAAGGGTGTTTCCAACACCTTCTTCATCCCAGAGCAGCTGCTTGTGCACAGAGCTCCTGCCTTACCCAACTGGTAGCAGGTAGCTTCCGTTGCAGAGCAGCAGCAGCTTCCAGTCAGACAGCTCAGCATGCAAATAAACAAAAGGTGCACAACCTGCTGAGCTCCCAAAGCCATGTTCCCCAGGGGAACATGATCTGAATGTGTATGTTTGGTGGCCCTGCTAGGCAGGGGGGTTGGAACTACATGATCCTTGAGGTCCCTTCCAACCCAGGTGATTCTGTGATTCTGTGTGATTCTGTGACAGGGAACTGTTGTGGAAAAGTGATAGGCAATTTGGCTTTCTTGTTTTTATCCTCCAAAAAAGAGAAATAAACCCAAGACAACCTGAGAAATGTTGTCATTGCGTGCACGGTCTTTTACTTTTGACTAAGTTGAACAAACCTCGCCTTGTTTCTGTTTGACATGGGAAACAGAAGAGGCTTCAGAAAACTGCAAACCTAGCAATTATCTACATCACCCTCAAAGGACTTGCAGGTAGCACTCCTTTTAAGAGCTCTTGCTATGAGGCTTCATGACACTGGAAATCTCACTGACTCATGGCCACCAGAAGGGTCACTGGAGTACCCCACTGCTGTTCCTGGGGGTAAGAAAATCCCCACACTAAAGGCAGAAAAGATTTTACAATGAGATCACTGTAGGAGAGGGGATGGCCAATAATTTGTTCACCTCTGTCAACTCCACTGTGTCACGTGTCTGAGAAAAACCCTTTAGGTTGTGGTGAGGAACAGATACAAGGAAGCTTATGGTTTCTACCTTACTTTTGCTTCCTGCTGCTCTTTCTCTGATGTTTTTATATAATGAACTGTAAGAGCACATCCTTTTGGCTATCAAAGCAAAGGACAATTTTTTTTTGCCATCGCGTGTCCAACAAATTTGCCTCTATGGTGGAACCATCAAAGACACAACAGCACCGTAAGAGTGATACATTAACGTTCTCCATCATAATTCAGTCACATGCTCAGAGGAGAAGAGTAAATCTTTTCACTGCACTTCTCCAGACCTCCCAGGAGAGATTTACACTCCTGCACAATGAATAGTGAACTGGAGGAGGGCTGGAGCTAGCTGGAGGCTACCTGAAGAAGTCCATCATAAATGACTCAGTTCCTGAACTTGAATTTAGACAGTAAAGGTTTCCACCACACTCTCTGTAACTTTGGGAATACTTGGAAGTATCACTTCTTCCCCTTTTGGATCAGTTTAAACACTGAAAGATCATAGATGCAGTTAGGAAAATTTGGTCACACTTACAAGCCCAGTGTAAAAGACATATCGGCTCTTCCTGTGTTACATGCAATTTAAGATGTGATTTGGGAGAGCTCTCCTGCTCATTACAGGAGAGTTAATTTGCTGTTACTATACCACAAATCACTGCTGTGCAAGAACTCTTTTTAAATGATGAACGAGACTCAGATCCTCTCGTCCTGATTCACGCCAAATTTCAAAGCAAATCTTTAGACCCACAACACTAAAGAGACTCCAATGTCCTATTCTCTCCTTGGACAAGTACCATGAGAAGGTCTCTTCCATCAAAGTCTTCAGAACAAAAAGGAATGAAAAGAAAAACATCACTTTAGCCGTTTCACCTTTCATCTCTGTTTTCCTTCACATTTTTTCTTAAGACACCTCTTCAAGCACACCCTTAAGCTCTTCAGTTCCTGTTCTTTGCTCTCCCATCCTTTTGTTGCTTTGAGGCAGTAACAGAGGATGAGATACTTGTTTCTACAAGGCCCCTTCCAGATCTGCATCTACAGAAAGGAGTCTTAATCTTCAAGAGGTTTATGGAGGCTGCCACAAGTGGCCCAGCACTCACTCCTCATCCTGAGATTCCTCCACCTAACTGAGGAGAGCAGAAGGTGGGTCCTGCAGAGAATCAAAATATTGTTAAAGTCAAGACAAAGAGCTGCACAGATGGGCTGAAAATACAGGCTCCATCTAAACCTCACAGATGGCTTTTATCCTCAACTCCCACCACCTTCACTTCAAAAAAAGTTTATCTGAAATGAAACAGTTGAATGGTCGGGAGGTCCCAGGCAATATCTGTTAGCTGATCCTTGGAGTCAGTGCCATTTAAAGTCCATCTTCAAGACATCATATGTGGCAGGGCAGAAATGAGAATGCAGCTGAGCCAGCAAAGCCTGCGATGTGATCTCTAGCCTTGTCCCTTGGCTCTTCTTGTTCCATACATGCACAGCATAGGTGTTCTTCAGCAGTTCATTCAGCTCAGTGGAGCTGACTGCTTCAAAGTATTTCTTCCAGTCCTGCCACCGAATGGGATAAAAAGCCTCTCGGGGCAGAGCACTCACCCCTTTGCAGCTCTTACTGCTCCGAAGACTCCTGATGGAACACCACTTCTTAAAGACACGCGTTAGGAGCTGTGGGCCTTGATGCCCCCAGATCCAGCTGTTGTAGTTCTCCACAAAGTCCTGCATACAAAGCTCTATGAACTTGTGTTTGGGTGTAAAGGACAGAAAGGCTCCATTCAGTACATACTTGGACTGGGTGCCGAGCACATTGGTGAGGTTCTTTAAGTTCTTAAGCACAATGAAGTCTGTGTCCAGGTAGATGCCCCCAAACTTCCACATGATGGCAATTCTGCAGGCGTCAGACAGGATGGGTAGGAAATAAGGTTCCCAGCGCTGCTGAGCCTGCAAGTACCACTTTGCTAGAGGTGTCCCAGAGAATAGCTCCGACAAATCCAAGGGACGGATTTCCACATTGGGGAAGCAGCTTAGCAATGAGAAGCCCCAGTGGTTGGGTAATGAGGCATTTCTGTTTGCCAGGCCTTTCATGAGCACCACGACCCTCGTCCCTGGGTGCGTCCGGGCAGCTGACTCCACAGAGCACATGAATAGGTAATTTGGGTTGGTTCGTTCAGAGGTCTCCACAAAAAACACATCTCCTGGGGGAGGAGGAGGTTCACCAGCAACAGCACAGGGAGGAGAGGGAACAGAGTGAGCACAGCGGATCTGAACAGGCAAGTAGACTTGGTCCCTGTCCTTAGAGTCCTCCGTGATCCTCCAGTACAACATGATGGAGACAAAGGACATGAACTTAAAGGCAAGGATGAAGAGAGTTCTGAGCTTGTGGCCAAGCACCACCCGGGTCAGCTTTAGCAGGCAGTTGGGCATCCTGAGCATTCTTGTTCCCATCAGAGCTTACTCTTCCAGAAGAAATGTTGTGATCTGGAGAGGAAGAAAGCAGAAAAAGAGACAAGCAGTCAGCAGACCACGAGCCACAATATATCACCATGGCAGAGTTGCATATGAACTCTCCTGTATGCCAGCATGCTAAATTATGTCTTAAGGATATTTCTAAAGAAGTGTCCTGGCTTCTCCATTCTGCAGCAGTGCCCACAGGTCCGCATCAGAAACCACAGTCCCTATATAGATTGTTAGAATGCATGGTAAAACACACTTGCACACCTACAAAGAAGCTCAAGGAGTTGGTGGCAGAAGGGGAGCTCAAGAAACAACCCTCTGGGCTCTTCCCAGAACCATCACAGGGACCACAGCCCATCAGAGGCCCATCTGCACAAGTTCTGTGGAGTGTAGGAACACAGAAGTGCAGAATCATCATATCACAGAATCACAGAATGGCTGAGGTGGGAAAGTGACCTCTGGACATCTTCTAGTCCAAACCCCTGCTCCAGCAGGGCCACTCAGAGCAAGGTGCCCAGGCCTACATCCAGGTGGCTTTTGGAGATCTCCAGCATAGAAGACTCTCTTCTATTTATCACAAACCAAGATTTACCCTCAATTCCCTGGATACATGCCATGCTTGCCTACATGCTTGCCACTTGTCAAGAAATACAGTCTGTATTCCATTTTATCTTCATGAGTCTGTCATTTTCAAACCAGATGTGTTTCAAATCAGAATTGCCTTCACCTGTGCTCCCTGTGCTTCACTCATTGCTCGCCTCAGGTGATCAATCAGAGGTTCAGGCTGTGATTCAGCAGTTCCCATACAAAGGGAGATATGCATAATTTAGAATAAATAAAGTCAATACAGTCCATCAGCAAAAGCAGGAGCTTTATGTCACAAACTAAAAAGTGCAGAATGTAACAGCGAACTCAATCAGCCTGCTACAGATACCTACAGGTCAGCTTAATAACAGAACAGAACCTTCCACTTTAGATCATTTATACTTCAGTTGGAAAAAAAGAAAAGAAAAATCTCAGCTGAGATTCATCTCAGTTCAGTTTTTCCTCCATTTGAAGGAGAGTTCAACACCCTGTGATTTTGCAGCATGTCTCAAGTCCCTCAGTTTGCACACATCATCTGGCTGGCAGCACTGCACTCTGTCGGGCTTGGGAGCTGCCATGTCACAGCAAGCAGCCCTTTCTTCCATCCTCTTTCCTTGAGACTCCAAGAGGACAATGAACACTTTCTTCCCATACAGCTACAAGAAATGGCAAGACCATGTCATCTGCCCCAACTCTCTTCTCTCCCTCTTCTCTTTATGACCCACTTCAGTTCAGAAGGAAGAAGAGCACACGAGCATGGGAGACCTTTCTACTGTATGGCTTTTGCCTCCACCACTTGTTCCAAGATGACTGCTCATAAACACTTGCAGCTGGCCAATGCTGGCTCTTCTCTAGAGCGCTGTAAACAGGAAAACACCAAAGTGCCAACACAGCAATGCAAGTATATGCCAGTCTCGTGTATGGAAGAGGAAATGCTACCCAAGTGACATGTACATGGGCTTTGTATTGTTTGCCATGTGATCTGTAAGCAGTTTGCATCCCAGCACAGTGAGCATACTGTTGCAGTCTTGACTTCAGAAATTCAGTATCATGTGATTTATTACCAACTACCTTTTTCTAAATTTATTAGCAATCAACTTTACTTTTAATTTCCAATTCAGCTCCTGAGCAGAAGAAGTGAAACAATTAAACAAATAGTTTGGGAAATACCTTTCCTCTCTTTTCCCAGGCTCCTCTTCAGCTCCTCTTTCCCCCTCCTGCTCAGTACCAGCTTCCTTTCTTTTCCCTGCTGCTTACACTCAGTCTGTTCCTGTTCCTTTGGTCAATGCATAACAGCTTATTTTTGCCACTCTTTCCATCTTACTCCTTCCCACCACTGCTTCTTGCTTCTTACAACTCTTCTGCCCAGCCCTCCACAGCCTGCAGTCCTTCAGAGCATACCCACCCTGGCACAGGCTCTCTGCAGGACACAGGGAAATCCCCATTCTGACATCAGTCATCCACCAGCCACAGACCCACAGGCATGTCCCTGTGCCCATATGGTTCCTCTTCGGGCACTGACCTTCAAGGGTATCCGTGCCCCAGCTTGGTTTGTCCACATGCCACAATCCCTCAAGGGTACTTTTACTGCACTACCTTCTTCAAGGACAGCACCTCCACCCATGTACCCTTCCACACCTCTCCTCCTCGCCCTCCCTTCACTCTGGAGACATTTCTTTGTGCATGTCCTCTCACCTCCTTTTGCATGCCCTCCAGTGTTTCCTCTCAGGTCTCCTCTGCCTCCTCACATCTTTGCTTATGTCTCCTTTTGCTTGACCTCATGCAGGTCTTCACCTTCCTCCTGCCCCTTGTCACCTTTTCAAGTCCCATTCTGTGATTCCTCACATCACCTCACGCCTACCCCCTGTGACTTTTGTTCATAGCAGCTGTCTCTGTTTCTTAAACACACTTGGGCAGAGGTGCCACAAGGAGCTGAAGGGTTGCAGTTTTGGTGTGCAGTGAGTTGTTATGCTCATGGCCTCCTCCCACTCAGCCCACCCCCTGCAGCTCCAGTTCCCCAGAGCCTGCCAGTTAAGTTCCTCATTGTTTGGGTTTTTTTTCCTCTGCAAGAGAAATACGCATTTGGATTTTGGCTTACCACCTGTCGAGCAGTTCTGCACCACTGGTGCAAACAAAAGAAGTCATACTATTGGCAGTGAAGGTCACTGCCCCTCGAGAGGCTCATGTATTTGTGTCCCTTTGTGGCAACATCTGCTTCCCAATGTTCCCTTTACAATGGAAAGTCTTTAAACAAATAAAGTACATGAGAGACCGTAAGTTCACATTTACATTTACCTACTTGTAGTACAAAGGGCTTGCCAGTTAAACCAATCTAAGATCAAATTTCCACAAAAAAGGGGGATTCTTTCAAGTGTTTAAGGCAGAAAATTCAGCCTACAAAGTCCTCCGATAGTTTAGCTTCCAGAGAACAGCTTGACTGAAGAATAAATCTTGGGAAAAGGTAATCAAGAGAGCACTACTGCTCCCCCAACACCTCTCCTATAAGCAGTGGGGAAATAGCAATGTCCCAAAAATAGCAATGCTTTCTCTTTAAGCTACTCGGCAGCCCAAGGGAAGAGAAGGATCTCTGGCAGTAAATAATAGCAGCAAATGACAACAGTTGTTCCAGCAACAGCAGTGAAGCACCAGGGAAAGCACAAGCACTCATCCTATAGCTCCCTTTGCTTCAAGTGACAGCCAGCCAAGCATGGCTGGAGCAGCGTGCTGTGCACTGAGCAAGGCACAGAGAACGGCAGTCAGGACCTGCCACGAGGTAGATGGGGCTGCACTTCACTGTAGGTGGCAGAAGAGAACCCCAGAGCACATCTCTGTGGGTCAGGCAAGGTGCTGCTTTTAAATGTTGTGTTTTATATGCTGCCTAACGCTGAGCCCAGGATGTTTTCCCAAGTGAATGTTGCAAGAGACCTGGAGTGTTTTGCTGCTGCTTAATGGAGGATGTCTTGTCCATAATCAATTCCTCTGTTTACATGTTTCAGCTGTTGCCTTGGTTTTCCCCGGAAAGCGGTGACAAGTGTTCTAGAGGTAGCACCTGTACCTTTTCTCTAAAAGCCATTAGAAACACTTCACAAGGAAATACAAAAAAAAATTCCCAGAACCTCAATCAAAGGAAAAATGACCAAGTAAACTTTTGAATAACCTTTGTTACAACCAAAATTAAGTAAATTAAACACGAACCTAGAGCTCAGAGAATTTACAATAACTAGTGGGTGTGATTTGCATCAAAAACATGTGGTGGTAAGGCCAGAGAAGAAGCTGCTGAAAGTTTGCATAAATCAGCTTTCGTGATGTGTTTCAGAGCTACAGAAATGCACTTCCTTTCTTTCAAGAACAATGGAAAATCAAAGCTGGCAAAGCTTTCATCACAAACAAGTTAGGAAAAAGGCAGACCTACAGATTATGCACATCGTCAAAGCAAAGCTTGTGACATTTTTCAGCTCAAAGACCATGCACAACACTGCTCTGCTCTGTTCCTTCAGCTTTTACCCCTTTGATAGTTCAAGTTCAGCACTTTTACAAACCCGGTACATAGGAAGTGATGCAGTGATTTGTTACAATGTGCTGGGTAGAGTTATGGTCAAGATTGGTCTTTAGGAATACTTGGTGTGAGGCATTCTGCAGCAGAACGGTGGAGGTGGGACTGGTGTTTGAAGCTATGCTTTTCTGTCCTGCCCCCAGGCCACAACAGCAAACACAAATCAGAGGCATGAAGCCGCTCGTGATCTCAGCCTCAGAGAGAAGTGGTCTTTCAAAAGTCTACCCAGGTGCTGTAGTTAACATGTTTAAAATGCCTTGACTTTGTCCACAAACTGTATCTAAGTCAAAGCATTTTGCTTATTAATGCTTTCCCCAGTACTATCACTGTCTATTGGGTTAACTCATGATGTAACCACGTCAACTCTTGCAACATACAAATGCACCACATTCGTGATCTAGGTGAGGCCCTGTCTTTCCCCATTTGCACCGTGAAAGTAATTCATGACAGAAGTGGGGTTCTGTGAAATCCACGAGTCATGGATGCTTGGAAGGAGGGTGTACAGAAACAGTGAAAATGGCTAAAAGAGATGGAAAACGGCTAAGTGGGATTGGAGTAGGGTAGCTAACAGTTGTTTTAATTGGGAAATCCTGCAAGAAGAATTTCAGAGGTGGCAGTCACAAACGTGAAAGAACAGAGGAAAAGGAACTTTTCACTGGTCTCCACACAGTGGTACCAGATGCTGGAAGCATTTTGCTTAGAACTGCAAAACAAAGAGTAGAAACCTGAGTACAGGCATTAAAAACCAGCTCACAAGCCACTTTACATCAAGCTAAGGATGCCTAAGCACAAGCAGCTGCCCTTGAGTCTCACAGTCACGACAAAAGCCAATTATTTCAAGAATTAAGAACTAACATCATTTCTCTGGTTTTACAACTGCTCAAGC